GCTGTGACAACTCCCTTCGCCCTTCTCTCCAAATTACTTCCCATGGTCTTCTTTGGTGTATCCACGAGATTTTCCATTATTGTCAACCAATCCATTTTGTCATTGACTTTTTCATCATTTTCTTTGCTTTCTGTCGTCGTCTTTGCATGATGTAGGGTCTCTCCTCTCCTTTTCTCTTCTAAAACATTTTTATATGAATTTCTATTGTGTTGGATGCTCTTAAACTCTTGGGTATTCATTTTTCATAAGTCTTGAAACACATTTTTGGCAATGCAATCAATTCTTATTTAGTTTAATCTTGTTACATAATTGTTATGGGAATATTGAACCCAACAGTATAAAGATTGATTTTGGTTCTTTGTTTTTTGGAGTGCATGGTTAATATTTTCATTCGGTGATACATGAAACACTTGTTGCCTTGTGTCTGTTGTTGTTAAGTTTTGAATGAGACTGCTTCCTATATAAAGCAAAACTTTGCCAACATTTTTTTAAATTAAGTCATCCTTTTAAGTAAGTTTTCACTAATCATGTGATTCAAATTTTTGGTTGTATTATTCTTTCTGAACATTTGAGTTATTGGTTCTGGCTTGGTGGATACATATGATTGATGGAAAGTATAATTATTGACTATAATAATTTGCAATTGCAGGGAGGTTAAATGACAGAATATATGGTATATAAAAAAATTTTCTATGTCGAGTATATGCTAAACGTTGTTGTTAATAGAAAATCCATGATAGTTATTGAATTTAACCGATGTAGAAAAGGAACATTCCATCTCGTCTAATAACTGTCATAGAAAATCATCAAAATTACATTCCCCATATACACGTCCCTGATTTAACCGTTGTTAAAAGTCCTCCCTGATTGATATTAATTACTCTTTTTCTAGTAGTGTTACCAATTTTTGTCGCTATATTTTATATAAAATGAGTAAAATTTTGATACTTCATAAGTCAAAAATCATGCTATTTTCAAATTTTTAATGACTTTTTAAACAAAGGCACTCTAAAATTGGTGCGGTTTCTTTTAAATTTAGATACAAATTCTTTGAAAAATCATAAGAAATCGAAAACAACGCCAATTTTGACTTATGACATCAAAATTTTACTCACTTTATGCAGATTAATATAAAGATAAAGCGTAAAAAAAAAAAAATTTGAAACTAGAGGAAAATTAAGGGGCAGTAGGGATGGGGCACCCCAAATCTTTTTAGTTTCTCTGTTTTACTTCCTGATACTTCGTGTTGGTTTTAGCTTTTACTTTGTCGATTTGATAAGTCTGCAAGACTTATGACTTGCAATTAATACTATTTCCCTTTGGCCAAAATTTTTTTTCCCCTAACAAATTAAGTAAGGATAAAATTAAAAAACAGTCATTAAATACCTTACAAGTAACTTCTATTTAGAGCAAAAACTTTTCCTCACAAATGAGTTATAATAAGGATTGGAGTGATATGTACAGCATAATCGTAACTACCAACAAGGACTGATAAAATGGACTTGGACTGTGATCAGGATATTAATGGGCACCATGGGATGATAATTGGGCCTGTGAGGGAAGGACTGATATGACGCGTGACATTACCGTATCGAGAAGGAGGAAGATAAGGTACAGTACTTGAGGCTGAAGAGTGGGCCATCTACAAGGGCTGCAACTAGCGCGGAATTTCCACTTTGGAGGGATCATACTTGAGTCCGACTCAAAGAACATGCTGTCACTGCAATTCCTCTTTTACACCTTAAGGCCGCCGTGTGTGCTCTGCCATGAGTGAAAAGCCACATGAATGATTGGATTTTCTCTGGCACTTTCCATCTCCATAGTAGCTTTCAAATGCTATCTTCCTATCTCTGTGTACCTGCAAGGAGAAAATTGTATGCAGATTTAACAGTAAAGCGACCATCAGTGGATGGCCGCCAATAGTATTTATCCTCTCTTCTCTCCTCACGGAGTGAATGTGCGGGATTGAGTGCTTGTTTGGGATTATGATTGGACACCCTAAAAACATTTATTCACGTAATTCAAAATAAGACTTCTTTTTATATAATTACTTTGTATTTTGTAAATAACGATTGAAAAGTTATTTTTAAAATTTTTTACAGTCATTCCAAATGAATGGCTAATTTTTTAGGCATGCTGGTATTTCCTAATCGGGTTAGTCATTTTCAGTACTCATTTTATGCTAAATAGCCTAAATTTGTGGCACACTCTACTGTGGTGGTTGTGGAGAATAATAAAGCAGTTAAAGGGTTGGTATCTTTTAATTTACTATTGAGAAAGGAGAAGGCAGAAACATGATATAATATTTATTATACGCATATAATTATCATTATTATTCAATGCTGTATGAAGATCTCTCCCATCCCCAAAAGCTATTTCTTAAAGCATAAAGAATTTATCAATGAGTATCAGTGAGAAACTTTCCATGAATCATATTAATTAAATAATAATAAAATAATCTTGTACTAACACTCGGTCTTTAATAAAAGACCTAGTAAGAAAGTTGAATTTGGTTCTAAATATAATATCCAAATCCATATTTATCCAAATAGCTAGCTCTATTAATTGCATATGTTAAGGAAGTTTGTATCAAAAGTAGTCTCAATCCAAATTATTTAAGAGGGTATTTTAAAAAAACCAATATATATTTTAGACAAATAACTACTTTAACTACTTTGCTTAATTTATTCAAATTAGTTAAGTAAGTCTTATATTAAAAGACGAAAGGTAGCATCTGTTTGTTACACCATTCTTAGTTTTGATCAGTACTAGGAGTCATCACTTCCTTTTGATCTAGCAAAGAATCTCCTTGTTCTTTTTTTTGTTAGCCACAATTTTTTCTTGTTTTACAGAGAAAAGGACTTTCACAGTGTTTAACTACAAGTGCGGAAGGTTGATGACGAATGGGAAAATGCATGTACATACCGTCAATTATTTTTTTTAGTTAAAGTTAGAAATTTCTTCACAATGCTGGTATCACCAATAGAGTGTGGTAAATCTTCCAAAACTATATATTTGTACCTAGAAATTGATATGAGCAGGATATATACATGATGTATGAATTAAATTAGGAAATTGACAGTAATAATATAGGATGACAAAGAAAGGATAGTTAGCTTTTGAAGGACTACATATTACAATTAATGAGTATTGTAGAGAAAGACACAATAAATTCAATTAAGAATTTAGAATGTAAAGGAAAAAAGGGGGAAAAAAACTCAGCATATTAGGCAAAAGAAATCCCAAAAAGAACGATACTCACAAATCCTTCTTTCATTCCTTCTGATGTGTAGAGTCGTAGAAAGTATTTTTCACAATAGTGATAATACTAACTCCAGTCTTTGATATAATAGCTAATAATAATTTAATTTGATTTTAAATATAATATTTCAATTTATTTTGTCTCATTTATTTATTCATAATAATCCTATTAATTTATGTGTTAAGGGGGTTTGTATTCAATGATAGGTTCAATCAAATAATTATTGAAGAGAATATTTAAAAAAAAACTAACATATTTTTAACAAATAACTAATTTAACTATATTTTTTAATTTACTGAGGCCAGAATGGTTTTGGGATGATAGGAAATGGGGCAAGATAGCTTTGACCCTGTCCCGTAGTATTAACTCCCTTACTACAATTTATTGTCTCATGTTTCATGTCATGTGAGAACTACAAGTCTTTGTCCTATGTAGGGGTGTTCAAATTGTCCCGTCCTGATAGGTCCGTCCCGGTCCTGATGACTTTGAGACGGGACGGAATGAGACAAAAAATTTTTTCGAGATGGGACAATTCCGGGACGGGGTTGTCTCGTCCCGGTCCTGTCCAGGGGTATATAAATTTAAAAGAAAAATTGTAAATATGAGATTCAAATTAACGTGAAAGACCACTAGCAGATGCCCTTTTCTATTTTTTAATACCATCCGGTCCCACTCGCTCTCGTCTCCTGTCTCCTGCATCTTCCTCTCGTCTCGGCCTCTGTCGATTGCGAATGTCCAGCCTCCTGACGAAGTCGTCACGATCTCGTGCTGGGCATCGCCGGCCAGTGCCTCGTCGCCCTTGCCTTGCGAGTTCGCGTTCCAGTCTCTGACTCCCCCTCAAGCTAATTCCTTCGTGCCGCTTTTGTTGGTCTGATTTGTAATTGCATCGCTGTTATTTTAATTCTTGCCCTATCTCCCTGCGCCAGCTCTGCCCCTCGTGAGGCGTCGCTTGGGTCTTGTGTTTTGTGCTTCGGCTAAAATAGTAGCGTGGGAGGTAGCTTCCTTCGAACTAAATCCATGTTCCAAAAAAAAAAAGATCTGCTCAACCAATTAGGAAATTATTTAAATGAATTGTGCAGGGAATTCGTCCAGCGAGGCAATAATCAGACACTGTCCAGAGACGCATTCAATTTTCCTTTGCTACAAATTTAAAATATGTCCATTTCAAGTCCCAAAAAAAAAACAAAGCCCAATAAGAAAACTAAAACATGAAGGCCCATTTACAAAAAAGGTTAAAAAAAAGAGAAGAGTGAGCACCCCTAGTCTCGTGTGCCAACTGCCAAGGAGTGGAGACTTGCAAGAGACCAATCACCAGATACAAAGCGTCACTGTATCATATAGTATCATCATCATCTCTAGGCCAGAGCAACGGGCGGGTTGGGCAGCCCGGCCCCAAACCCGCAGCCCGCCCGTTTATGCAATAACGGGTACGGGGTGGCCCGTACCCGTACATAACCCGTTTAAGCCCGTCCCTAAACGGGCTGGGTTAAGTGGGCGGGCTTAAACGGGTTATGGGGAACCCGTTTAACAATCAGGTGCTGTTCAGGGGCTGTTCGCAATTCGCATTCAAAAATCAAAATAGATGAAAATTATAATACCATTAATCAAAATCTAAACTCCATAATCCATACAATCAGAAACCATCACAAATTTCTAATGTTCAAGGGTTCAAGCTTCAAAAGAGGACAACCACAAATATAAAATTGTAAAGGATTAATCATCATCAAATCATCATCAATCACTCATCATCATCATCACCACCATAATCATGAGCTTCTCCTTCAGAGCTACTTGAGGAAGTGGCTGTACTTGGAACCAATGACTCTTGCTCTACAAAACAAATTAAAAAAAATCAATTCATTAATATTTAATAACAAGATAAAACAATATAAATTGAAAATATTGTTGAAGGTTAAAATACCAGTAACGACATTTGCACTCTCAATAAAATTATCTAGTTCAAGGTCATTGAGTCTTGGAGTACTACTGCATAGCCAATTTTGAGCACATATGAGTGCCTCAACCATCTTTGCAGATAAAGAGCTCCTGAAATTATCCAGTATTCGACCCCCAGTACTGAAAACTGATTCAGAAGATACTGTAGAGACCGGTGCAGCCAACAAGTCACGTGCCATTACACTCAAAACTCTATACTTGGGAGCATTCACTTTCCACCATGCCAAGACATCAAATTTTGGATCACGAAAACCACCTAAATCAGCTTGAAGGTATTCATCTACTTCAGAAATTTTCTCTGCATTAACAACGGTGTCTGCAGTGGCTAGGAACTTTTGAAATGTAGAATCAGTATCATCATGAAATAACATGTCAATGTCATCATCCCCAGTTCCAACACTATCATGGACTTGCTGTTGATCCGCTGTTGATTGAGATTTAGATGCTTCACCATGATCAAGCTCAGCAACACTAGCAAAATAGTGATCATACAATCGATACAAGACATCCATAGTCTTTTTCAACATGGCTTCTCGCTTTGTAGGTTCAGGAAAAATGTCTTCAAAAGCAATCTTGATATATGTCATCTTGAATCTAGGATCAAGGATCACTGCTATGATCAACAACGGATTCATTTTTTCTGCTTTTCCCCAGTACTTATCATACTTTGTCTGCATTCTCCTTGCCATGTCACTCAAGAGAGAGTACTCACTAGCTGCACTTCGATGAAGGTGAGTCTGAATTGCAACTATATGCTGAAAGCATGTACTTGTTGTTACAAAATTTGATCCAGAAAATTTGAGGGTCTTAGTGTAGAACAACCTCAAAAACACAAGAAACTCTTTAGCCACACTCCAATCATATGCAGTAGGTGGTTCAGCTGTGGCCCTTCCTAATGTTGTGTCAATGACATCAGCATCATCATCATCATCATCATAACTTAAGACAACACCCTGTTGGTTTGTAAACAGTTTAACCTTTTTCTTAAAGTAATCCTTGTAATCTTGATCTTCTTCTTCCATCCTATCAAAGACTTTGATGAACTTGACAGCATTTTCCAACATCAGATAAGTTGAATTCCACCTAATCACATGACAAATAAGAAATAAACAACTAAGAATTATCAAGTGAAAATGGACATAATATGAAAATAATACAATTATAGTGCAAATAATACCTCGTGGGGCAATCCAAAGTCAGCAAACTCTTCGAATCAATTTTTTCCTTTTCAACAAGCTCCTTGAACCTCTGTAGCCTAGCTGGAGAAGATCTAACAAATTTAATTGCATGCCGAATAAGTTCAATAGACTTATTCATTTCCTTTAGACCTTCACCAACAATCAGATTCAAAATATGAGCTGCACACCGCATTTGCAAAAACTCTCCATCACATATTAGACCATTCCAACTCTTCAACCGTTTCTTCAAATAGGCAATTGCAGTGTCATTAGAAGAAGCATTGTCAACTGTAATTGTGAAGACTTTTTCAATGCCCCAGCTGAATAAACAATCCTCAATTTGCTTGCCAATTGTATCCCCTTTGTGATTTTCAATGACACAGAAATTTAAAATCCTTTTCTGTAAAGTCCAATTCTCATCAATCCAATGTGCAGTCAAACACATATAGTTGGAGTTTTGTATTGAAGTCCAACAATCAGTGGTAAGGGACACACGGCATTTAGATCGCTTGAAATATCTCTTCAAACGTTTTGCTTCCTCCAAATACAATTGGTAGCAATCCCTAGCAATTGTCCATCGTGAAGGTATCTGAAACCTAGGTTCAAACTCTTGCAAAAGTTCTTTTAGACCCTCCCCTTCCAAAACTCGAAAAGGCAATTCATCCTTTATGATGAACCTTGCAAGAGCCTTTCTACATCTTTCTTGGTTGAACAAGCGATACGATTGAGATGATTGAGAAGACATAGCAGTCAACATGGTTTGTGACTTGCTTGCTTTGTTTGGATTCTTAGGACACTTTTCAAAATGCCGCCACAACTGTTTTGTCCCAGTTTTAGTTGGATGACTTGCATAATCTATGCCACAATAATTACACTTCGCCCTATGTTTCCCTTTGGTTTGGGTTAATGGCAACCTTGTAAAATGATTCCAAATATCAGATGTTAGCCGCCTTTTCCTCTTCGTTGGTGGCGCTACTTCTTCAGCATCTTGTCTCTCATTATTATTTTTAGCATGTTGAACAACAGTACTTGGGTTTTCAGTTGGACCTTCCACACTTTCCTCTACAACAGTCTTAGCTTTGATATTGTCTTGCTGACTTTGTGCCATTCTTCAATTTCCTTCTCAATCCAAATCAAATTTAACAACAATAATAATAGCCTTAATAGGAGAAATAAAAATAATAATACTTTCCCAATTTTTCCAAAACCAAATCAATTTTCAGTTTTTCACTTAAACATAATCAAACTCACTCATTATGAAATGAATATAGAACACAAAATCATCAACAAACAAAACTGCAAGAAGACCGATGTTTGTCAAAATGCACACACAGAGACCAAAAAGAAAATTGCAATATCAAATATCAATTATATATTGCAAATGCGGTGTGCACACAAATTGTTTCAATAACAGACTAACAGTTATATATAACATCAGGATTATGCTTTATCTTGTTAATAACATCTAAAAGCTGATCAAATCCTTTGCCAGAGTAGTCCGCATGCATGTCAGTATAGTGAATATGGTAATACCCAGGTCAGGGAATTGTGCAGATGAGGCCAGATGAATATCTACGTTTACATATAATATACAAAATCCAATAAAGCACGATGACTTGCTATAATGCTATGTAAAGTTTCGACATTTTTTAGTTGTGTATTTTCATCAAACAGCTTATGGGCGTGAACCAGGCTGAAACAACAATGCAAAACCCAACATGAAAAGCAGAAAACTCGATATAGGAAGAGCCGAAGAGGAAGTTGAAACCTGCCAGCTTTGTGAGTATACCTATAGACTCGGCGAGTGACAGTCACCGAGGAGGCGAGGAGGCGAGGACTCAGAGGTCGACTGGAGTCTGGAGTTGGAGACAGACACCGACCGAGTGAGTGACGGTCTGACCGAGGCGAGGACGAGGCGACTGGTGAGGACTCGAGGGGATCACCGGATCAGGGGAGACAGAGACCGAGTGAGAGTGACGGTGAGTGGTGACCGACTGGAGCAGAGACCGAGCTGAGGCGAGGAGGCGAGGATTCGAGGTCAACTCGAGGGGATCAACTCGAGCTGAGGCGAGGAGGCGAGGATTCGAGGTCAACTCGAGCTGACGGTGAGTGGTGACCGACTAGAGCAGAGACCGAGCTGAGGCGAGGAGGCGAGGATTCGAGGTCAACTCGAGGGGATCAGCCGATCAGGATTCAGGATTGAGCATTCAGTGATTCACTCAGGCTCAGCTCAGCGGGAGTCCGGGACCGGGAGTGCGGAAGCCGGGAGATGGGAGACCGACGAAGACGAGATTAGAGAGGAGAGAGTGAGAGATCACTAGATCAGAGTCCGAGTCTCCGAGAGAGCGAAGGCGACAAGGCGTGAGTGAAGCGGTTCAGAGTTCAGACCAGACATTCAGATTTCAGAATTTCAGACCACAGAGGCAGACATTCAGTCTTTCTTACTTCTTAGTTTCTTTCGGTTTTTCGGAGACGGGAGGGGAGACCGGAGACGTAGAGACTAGAGAGCCAGAGATGGACACGGACACGCTACACGCCTACACGGACACTCACTCAGATTGGGCTTAATTATTGGACTGCAGGACTGGGCTTGGGGTTGTCATTTTCTTCAATTTAAAAAAAAAAAAATAAATGGGCGGGTACGGGCAGCCCGTGCCTGTGCCCGTAGCCCGCCCATTTAATTTGTAAACCCGCCCGTTTAAGCCCGCCCGTTTATTTTCTTTTTTGGGCGGGCCCAAACGGGTCCAATTTCGCCGGGTTGCGGGCGGGTGGCCGGGTTTCGGGTTACATGCTCAGCCCTAATCATCTCCTTAGCCCATCCCCGTTGCTTATGATGCACAGCAAACACAAGGCACATAAGCAGGTTTGAAAATAATTAAAAATTTTATTGAATCATTAAAATAAGTTAGAAGCATTTTTTAAAGAAACAAAATACTCGGAGATTCGCAACAGTAATTATAATACAATTCGAATAATCTAAACATTACACACATTTTAAATCCAAATCATACACCCACACAAATAAATAAATAAATATGCATAGGAATTCTAAGTTAAAAATTTGAATAACAATAATATCTTTATAATTTAATTAATTATAACTAACAAGGAATTAAATTAGTATTAATATTGATTATTGTATTAATTAATCGATAATGTAAATAACAAATGAAGCGACATGTATGTTAGATCGCACTAAAAAAAAATTCAGAATACATATAACATAAATTTATATAATTCAGTAGATAACCAACAAAGTATAATATCAACGTGTATATAGAGAATTTTCATAGTTATCTGTTACTCCAATTTACAAATAGTCACAACAAAGTTATTCTAAAGCTTTCAATGATAATCTACAATAATCATAAACAGAAATATTTATCAATAGACTATTAACAACTACTCTAGAGCTACTTCTAAAATTATTCTAAAGCTACTGTAAAGCGTTTTAGTCATCCTCTATAAACCAACATACTCCTCCAGTTCTTAATATAAGACCCATTTAACTAATTTGATTATATTAAGAAAATTAGATAACTTAGTTAATTATAAGAAAAGTGACACATTTTTCTTAAAACACTATAATCATCTTTTTTAATACCCTATTTCCTTCTTCTACTTGATTATGGTTGATAGAGTATCCATAGGGGTAATTTAGAGAAAATTGATAAATATGAGAAATAGGTCTTATATTTAGGACCAAAACCAACTCAAGAATTGAGTTCTATATTAAGGATCGAAAGAGTATTATATATATGTTTATGTATCTATTTAGCTACTGTAGAGATTAACATAGGGAGAATCTCAATTAAATCAGGCATAAATATCAGAATCTAAATTTAAGCTTACAGTTTTAACAAATTCCCAATTCGACCAAGAGACTTAATGAGGAATTTTTGAAAGTTTTTAAATGGCTAGAATATCCCTCTATAGTTAAAAAGTAAAATTAAATTTAAAGTCTGAAATAGTTCAATGTTTTAATATAATTTTCATTAACATATATATATTTGAGATTAAAAATTTGATTTAGAGTATTTTATAGTTAAAAATTAAAATTAAATTTAAAGTCTGAAATACTTTTTCATTTTGTTAAAGAATTATATAATCTCAAAGGATAAAAATATTTGTGCAATTCAAATAAAAAAACATTTAAATCATATTACACAATTTAATTTAAATTTTGAGATAAGTATAGACCTAATAAACTATAGGATGAAGTATGCGGGAAGGAAGGAACTAGGCTTTCTCTGCTTCCATCTGGATTCACCTAGATATCCATTTGAATCATCCAGATTCCTTGTTTATTATCAAGGATTTGTATGAAAGGTGGAAAAATTATGTCTTGAGCGCGGTTACATTGACATAAATTTTCTTCTATTCCCTTTTTCTCTCAATTATCGGGTCTATAATTATATTTGAAAATTTAAATTAAATTATGATAACATGCATGGCGTAAATCTTTTTTATTTAAACTGCACAACTATTTTTTTAATTTTTAAGATATATAATTCTTTATAAGAATGAAAATTTAACCAATATTTTAAATTTAATTTTACCTATAAAATACTCTGAATCAAATTTTTAATTAAAATATACATTATTTTAAGTTAATGAAAAGTATATAAAAATTGAAGTAAGATAAAGCAAAAATCTCAATTAAATATTCTTTTTTAACGATGAAGGGACAATATAGTCTTTGAACAATATCAGAAATTTTTTAATTAGGCTTATTGGCCTGGTTAAAAATCTATTAAGAATATAAGTATAAATTTGGATTTAAATATTTCAACTAAATTTAAGTGGGATTTTCCCTAAAACAGTTGAATACTAGTTCAGTATAACCCCAATATATAGTAGGAAGAATATATATAACTATTTGAATGAGACACTTTTGGGACATATGCCAACGTCTGGGCGAGAGAAAATCAAGGAGAGAGGTAAGAAAGGAAGATATATAGGAAAGAGAAGGACGGCGTGGGAGGGAGGAGAAATAATGAAAAGAGAGGAAGAAAAGAGAGAAAAAGGAAATAGGACAATAGATACACATTGCACTCTTTCAGACAAAATTTTCTTTTTCGATTCTTAATTTGTTCTATGCGTTAGGGTTGCACATGAGCAGGACAGGGTAAGGTTGCACAGAGTAGGATCCTTGCCTGATGCTTAGCTCGAAAAATAAACGGATTGTAAAATGTAGCTCATTGCACGGCCCTGCCCTACCCATGAAAAGTCCTAGTAAATTTGGGTTGAGCAGGGACTGCTTTCATGCCCAACAAATTAATATACTATATCAATTAACTAATTATTTATATCTCTCTAAATAATCTAATGTAACTTTATATTAAAATGGCACTTTGACCTTAATTTAGTTATTGCTAATTAATATATTATTAAACTACATTTTGTAGTAGTTAAAAATAGTGGACTATGACAAAAAAATGTTGTTAGTATATTTTATTAAGCTTAATTACTTTTCTAGTCTCTAAGATTTCTTAACCAAATATGAATAACTTTTTTCCCCCATAACTCTCAAATACTCATAAGAAGGTGGAATCATATCTAAAAAAAAAATATTTGTTTTGGTTTAATAAAGGGGAAATCACAAATAAAGACCCTCGAATTAGCAAAATCACTCTATGGTCATCTGAATATGCCAAATTACCATGAGGGACCCGGTCTCAAATTGCAAATAGCAAATGTTGGTGAAAAGACGAAATTGCCCCTCAGTGATTTGAACCCACTGAACCCGCGGCACGTAGTCCCCCCACTATCGACAACTTCCCACTGTTCTCTGCATTCTCCCTATTGTCTCCATTTTCGCGCACCTGCATACTGCCATTTTGCCGTAAGAGTAGTGTGGAAGGAGTGTTGAGACGGTGAAGAGCATATTGTTGTGACAGAGGTGAACAAAGCTGTGGTTTATCGGCATTGTGGAAGGGTTCAGAAAGTCGAAGGCATCGTTGAATAGTGCGGCAGCAATTGCTTTAGGTGATCAGAGTTAGCAGCTACGTTGGGTGACTGATTGTAGTAAGTTTGTTGGCTAATTTTGTTTGGATTGGTTGCTGCAAGAATGTGCAAATGATTGGTGAGAGTAAAAGAGTTTAGGGTAGGAAAGTAGAAGTACCCAAATTTTGATTGAGTGATGAAGAATGTTTTACTGTGAAAAATATAGGTTTTTTCTGTTAAATAACCTGTGGGAATGGTATTTATGTGGGGAAGGAATGACAATATCAGTTTTGTAGATGACAATAATAGTAGGGAAAATAACGACATAGGATATAGTCAAGGGTAAATTGAATTGAAGAGGTACTAAGTGTGTTTTGTTGTAAATGAGAAGGTGGACGGTGGGATTTGACAAGTTCTGTAACGAAAATGATAATTTAAGAATAGGAAATGACAAGTTGATTAATTGGGAATAAGAAGATGTCAATGCGAAATTGACAAGTTGGTAATGGGAAATAACAAGGTTATAATAGTGAATAACAAGATTTGTATGCGGAAGTAAGAATTTGATAATAGGAAATGACTTGTTTGAATAACAAAGCTGAGTATGACAATAAGACAAGTTTATCATTTCAAATGACAAGTTAAATTACTAGTGTATGATCAGAAATAACAATTATGATAAGTATGTGGGAATAACAAGTTGAGCTTAAAGAATTGACAACTTTTGTAGAGAGAATAACAAGTTTATCATAGGCGTTTGATTGACAGAACGAGTATTGACAGAATTGTTGTTAGTCAGTTAATAAGTTGTGTTAGTGAACTATTGTATGTTGAATATTTTGCAGGAAAAAGGACATGGCATCTGAGGGAGCCTCCGGATCAAAGCCGGCACACAATGGCTGGTTGCTATTCAGAAGGGAGTATTTGGCGACATTAGGTGATAGTGATATCAGAGGCAAACAAAAAAGAGACGTTGTGTCAAAGGCATGGAGAGCTTTGTCTGATGAGGAGAGGAAGAGGTACACAGAGGAGGCGAAGAAAAGAAGGCCAGAAAAGATTGAAGAGGAGAAGAAAAAGAAATATGTACCATCATTTTTAACCCGAGTGTCCTTGAAAGGTTTTAAGAAATTACTGCACTTTGTGAATAATAATGATGAGTTAAGGGATAGGGTGGAGAGGATAGGATTTGGAAGCTTGTTGAAGGTTGGATTGAAGAGACTTCCCCGCGATCTCATTGTGACTATGCTAAGATCATATGACCCACCAACACATCAATTTACAATACGAGGGAAAACTGAGGAAATAGGAGCAAAACATGTTGACAAGCTCCTAGGAATACGCCATGGTGGGGAGAAGATTAAAATTGAAGTTTCGGAGGATGATGAAATGTACAAGAACTTGAAGAATCAGTATCGGAGAGTGCCATTCAGCAAAATACTAGATGACATTATTTCTGGGGAGGAAGATCACAGATTTGAATTCTTGTTTATCCTATACACGCTGGGTACCTTTCTATGTCCGTCATCTAGCTCAGAAGTGAGTGAGAGGCTGGTGAGAGTCATGCGTTCCACGATGGATGACTTTGAAAAGTATGATTGGGCAACACATGTTATGGAGGACCTATGGAAAGAAATGGCTGACTTTGTGAAGCTGTATAGACAGGGTAATGATGGGCAGGGGAGCAGTACTGTTGGTGGCTGCGTATACTTGCTTCTGGTATGACTATTTTGTTTCTCACTGTGCAATACTTTATTGGCAATATGAACAATGTAATTGGTGATGATATGTGGTGTTGCAGCTTTTTTTTCGGTGAGCATTTTAACCTCATCCAAGGTTCACAGCGAGGCTCCACCAGTGCTATCCAATACTGGACAGATGAGAAGATCAAAGAATTGGCAAATACTGAGAGGAAGAGCGTTAGGGGGCTGTTGTATGGTGAGAAAGGGAGTGATGTTGTGTCTGGCAAAGACGAGAGGATAAATGTTGATTCTCTGGACCCGGTATGTATATCTTTGGTAGAGTGATATTCTTGGTGAACTTCTTGTTTGTGATAGTTACGTTGTCATTTGATAAACTGACTTGGTATATATAAAACTTATGTTGTGATTAGGTTTAGTGAAGTTGTCATTTGTTATAGTTGACATTGTTACTTGATAAACTTAACCTGTTAAAAACGGTACCAAAGTTGTGATTGGGTAATGTGAACTTGTCATTCGGTATTGATTATGCCTGAGTTGTGATGGGGTCAAGTGAACCTGTCATTTGTTACAATGTAGTTGTTATTTGATGTACCGAAGTTGCTAATTATAATTTATTAGTTGTGATTGGCTAAACTGAACTAGTCATTTGATATAGTAAAGTTGTTATCTGACATACCAAAGTTGTTATTTATACTACTGATGAACTTGTTATTCGCAATAGGGAGAGGTTGTAATTTGTTATAGTGTAGTAAGCTTGTAATTTCATATACTAAAGTTGTTATTTATAATAGTTAACTTGTCATTGGGTAAAGTGAGCTTGTCATCTGCAATAGTGAGATCATGATGTGGTATAATTATGTTGCTAGTAAATTGATAAACGCCATTGTCATGCAGGAGCTGAAGCAGTTACGTGCACGATTAATGAAGAGGATAGAAGAAAGCCATCAGAGGCTGATGAATATGGTAGATGAGGAGCTGTTGAAGGTGCACATTCCAAGAGAGGCAGATGGGAAGAGAAAAGGAAAGGCTCCTGCTGAGACACTCGCATCAATTGTTAGTGGGTCTGAAGATGACGATGAAGAGGAGAGACAGCATGCTGGTGAGACTAGTGAAGCTGTGCAGAAGAATGATGGAGGGAGTGATGGTGAGAGTAGTGAGGAGAAGGAGAAAGATGACGAAGGGAGTGATGATGAGACGAGAGGAGGAGGAGGAGGACAAGGAGAAAGGTGACAGGGGGAGTGATGATGGGACAAGTGAGGAGGAAGGCAAGGAAAAGGATGATGGAGAGAATGATGAAGATAGTCAGGACAAGGATGAGGGACAGAGTGCACAGAAGGACAATGATGAAATGGAGGGTGACATACCCACGCCTACTACCCCCATAAACCTGTCATCTAATGTTGAAGGTGATGATGCGGAGGGTGACACAGCCGTCACTATATCCCCCCTAGCAATTGTCAAATATGTTGACCCTGTTGAGAGGCAAACCCCATCAGGGTGGAACCTGTGACAGCAGCTGAAGGTGTAGGCACAACAAGTAAGGAGATCTACCAGGGTTCGCTTCAACAAAATTAAGTCTCCTTGGTTGGAGTTGAAGGCACAAACAAGGTTGAAGAGGCCTGCAGAGGATAAAGACATTTTCTTCACCATTGTCAGCCGAAGTGTGAAAGGTGATGAAGGCGACTAGTAAGTATTGTGATACTCAGCTTTTCTGATGGGGTTTTGTTATCACTTGTTAACATAACCCATATGCTAACTCACTTCAACCATTGTCAGTCCTTTGATTAAAATGTATGATGAAGATATTACCCGACGCTTGCTGCATTCTCTTGGGGGAAATAACAGAGTTAGTAACAGGGTCATGTCATTAGTTTGTAAGGCGTGGTGGATGAGCAACAGGCTGTGGAAGGGCGTGTAAGGAGGCATATTTTTGATGCGGACTTCATGGTGAGGTTTCTTCATTAGTTTGTGAAATGATAAGTTTGGATATGAAAATTACAAGTCCTCAAAGGCAAATGACAAGTGTAGTATATAAAGTAACAACACTGTTAAGGCAAATAACCGTCTAAAGAAACTAATTGCAAACTGACAAAATCAATTTGTGTTCTTTATAGGAGTTAATGATCCGTGACCCAGCTCGGTGGGACCCTAACTACCATGCACGACAAATAATTCCTCAATTTGTCGGGTACAACATAGGTGACTGTGACTTGGTTATGGGTCCTGCACTTGTTGGTGAGCACTGGTTTTGCTTTGCCCTTGAACCCAACACCATGAAGTTCTATGTCCTGGATTCCATGCGAGGAACTGTTCAGCCTAAGAAGACCACAACTAAGAAGAAGCAAGCAGTCACCTATGACCCTCAGGAAATGGCCATAGCAGGATGTGTAAGAATCACCTGGGCATATTACATTGTATTATTATTGTCTGAAATTATAGTGATGTTGATGAATATCTGATATATGTGTAGAGAGAAAGGTTCCACGACATTATTGGCATGGTTAGGCCAGATTTGACTGAGAAAATGCCAAATTTGGAAATTGTGCGGCCTGATGTACCTCAACAGAGTAATTTGTGAGTATACATACACTGCACATGTAATTTGCTGATTTCCTATATTTATTCTCGAATTGTTAAACTGTGATGGTGGTGTTGTTCCTAGGAGGGACTGTGGGGTGCATGTCCTAATATGGCTCAGCAGATGGGAACCCAATGTTCCACTAGAATACACCCAGGTGATGTGGTTTGCTTAATTGTTGTGACTGGTAAAGGGGCAAAGTAAGATTAACTTGCTGTTGAATCTGTTTTGCAGGGAGATGTGGCAGCTTTTCGGCGTGATCTAATGTGGTGGCTGGTGAACCATGATAACAATGAATGCCGTGAGGATGCGCTGAATCTTATTCCACATCCACAGAAGGGGCGAACGTCCAAAAGGAGGAGAAAGTCCCTATAGAGAAAGAATTTGGGCCATGAAGGACATTGACTGTAGATAATGTTACTGCGTTATCATTATGTGTAGTGAACTTGTTGTCTGGCCTAACTGCTACCCAGTTATGACAATTAGTAATGGTGAAATGACATTTTTATTGACATCATTGAAATTGTGTTCAAGTGATGCTATTTCCACTTTTCTTTAACGTATGACAACATCAATATGCCAATTAACAAGTCCATTAAGCAATATATGAACTACTTTTTTTTAATGAAATGACACTATTTCCACTTTTGTTTAACATCTGACAACTTCAGTATGCTAAATAACAACTCCGGTTAAGCGATACATGAACTTCAATTTTTTCGAATGAAGTTACAGTATTTCCACTATTGTTTGACGAGTGACAACTTCACTTAGCGAAATAACAACTTCGGAAGTGGAAGCGGCGAAGTTCATTTTTTTCCTGTTTAAATGACAGCCTTTCACTTTTGTTTACCCAGTGACAACTTCACTTTGCGAAATAACAACTTCGAAAGTGGAAGCGGTGAAGTTCATTTTTTTCCTGTTTAAATGACAACCTTTCCACTTTTGTTTACCCAGTGACAACTTCACTTTGCGAAATAACAACTTTGGAAGTGCAATTGGTGAAGTTTATTTTTTCCGTTTAAATGACAGCCTTTCCACTTTTGTTTACCCAGTAACAACTTCATTTTACGAAATAACAAGTTTTGTTAACCAATTGGCAATATCAGTATGCCAAATAACCACAAAGCACAGGTGGTTTGACAGCAACCTCTATTTGCTGATATAACAAGTAAGCAGTCTGCATTTACAATACAACCAAGGGAGTTTACAGCAATACTAAGTCAAATAACCACAAAGCACATGTGGTTTGACAACAACCTCTATTTGCTGATATAACAAGTAAGTAGTCTGCATTTAGCAAAAAGTAAGAGGTCCGTTTACAACAACCAGATTTTGCAATAGTCAATAACAAAAAGACATTAACAACGTCGTTGACTTCTTTTTTCCTTGTCAGCAAACATATTACTTGCAAAAATAGCTGTGTAGCTATGCAACTAGCAACACCCTTCTCCTAAAAAAATTAAGAAGAGTGGAGCGTATATACACCAAAAAATTAGTTGTCCCTTGTAGAAATTAACTTCAAAATGGGTTGGGATTTTTGCAACTCCTCCTTGTGTGTCCAGGTTGGTGGCATCTGGTGCAATGGTAGACTTTTTTGTTCTGGAATTGTGATTCCTGCCGTTTAGTCCTTGGTCTTCCAGGAGGCCTACTTGTATTTGGTGGTAAAAGCAGGGTTTGTTCAGCAAGATTCTCAAACATATAGTCATTTGGGTTAGGCATATCGATTGTTACCACTGGAACCATGCTCCTGCCATATATTTTCTCCTGTGCTGAAATTTTGTAACAGTCTTCAACATATTCATATACATTTCCCCCCACAGTCTTAATGGCTGCACAAGCATGGCAGCATGGAATTCCTGACATTTGCCAACCAAGACAACTACATTGGTGTAGACCAAGGTCTACTCTTTGATCTCCACGAGATGTATGTACACACAGTCTTCCGCCTCCATAATTGTCACAGCTCATATACCTATTGAAATACACATTCTCCAGAACCTTTGCCTCGGTTTTTGGCCCAACACAATTCCTCCACTTACTCATACACATATATGATGCATGCATCTTCCTTGCTACTTTCTCCCGATGCTCATGGATCATTTGCGCCACATTATGCTTTCTCTCCTTCACCATCCAAGAATTGAAAGACTCAGCTATATTGGTTGTTATATTGTCCCATCTTTTAAATGCGAACTTGCTCATTGCCCACCTATTCACATCACCTTGATTGATAACCCAATCATGTAACTCAGGAGACATAGTTCTCAGCTCTGCCATTGCATTATCAAAGTCACTATCAACCCTTGCATAAGCTACTCTATCAAGAACCTTTAATGCATCTTCTTTTGACCATTGGCTTGTCCTTTTACCTCTGTTTACTTTCACTTGTTCAGCACTGAAGTTTTCCTTCACATGCCTATAACAATACGCATGTCTTTCACCTCCAAATATTGCTTGGACAGCTCCTATTATGGCATTGTGTCGGTCTGACACAATCGTCACCTGCACCGAACCAACAATTTCTTTAATTTTGAACAGAAACCAAGTCCAATCATCAAGGTTCTCTGATTTCACCACTGCTATTGCAAAAGGCAACAAGTCATTATCTGCATCATATCCCGACGCTGAGAGTAGTGTCCCCTTATATGGACCACTTAAATGAGTTCCATCAACATATAATATAGCCCTTGCACCACTCAAAAAACCCTCAATACACGAACCATATGCAATGAAAACCCGCTCAAATGTATTACCAATGGCAGCCCATTCAGCAACTGTTTTATCATCAGTTTCCTTCAATCTTTGGCATATCCATGGTATGAACATATAGGATTCTTCCGGTTTCCCATGTATGTGTTCCATGGCCTTTTCCTTTGCTCTGTAAGCTTGAGCATATGTTAGCCTCACACCATATTCCCTTTCCAGTGTCTTCCTTATTTCAGTAGGACGCTTTTCGGTATGGTTCCTTATCTCCTCAAGTATTATTGATGACGTCAACGCAGCATTGCCAGCATAAGTGACATCTAGGTTATCTTGCGCTGAATGAATGTGTTCATTAACGAATGTGGTCACGCGTAATAAAAGAGTATCCCTCCCAACAGCATTTGCACAAATCTTCCATGGACACCCTTCCACTTTACACCTCACATTCATCTTCTCCCTACTGTTTCTCACATATGTCGTTGCAAACTTCTGTGCAATACTAAACCTGTACACAGCCTCCCTAAAAGCTTGGGCATGTGGAATATATTGCCCCACTCCTGCAAAAACTCCAACCCATTTCATGCAATTCAAATTACCCCTCAATGTCCCTTCACTCCCTGAACCGTCACTGAAGTTTGTCTGACTTAAACCCCCTCCTTCATACGTTAGGCATTCAGCACCATAGTCAACAATGAGTGGTTCATAGTTATCACAAGGTTCACCACACCTTCAGTCATTTCTCCCGACAGCCCAAACAAATTCTCACCCCTACACCCATAATAACAACATTCGAATAGAAATTAGCAACAACACATTAGGAAATAACAACATTCTACTGTAACAAAGTTAGCATAATAACAAGATTTGTATGGGAAATATCAACAATTCATTATAAAATAACAACTTACTACTGTAACAAACTAAGCAATATAACAACATTTGAATGGAAATTAGCAACAACTCATTACCAAATTACAACTTCCAACCGCAACTTCATTACCTTAATTACAATATTTATATCTAAATTAACAACAATTCATTACCAAATAACAACTTTCTACTGCTGTGCAGTGCACATGATAACAACATTTCTTTGGGTATTAACAATAATCCATTACCGAACAATAACTATTAACTGCAAAACTTTAACCACTTACATTTCTCCATCATTCACTGCTCCACCTTCCTTCTGGTTCCCTTTCGCTGCTACATACAAATGAGCACTGCTATCGTTATATCTAAACATATTGCAAATATCACCTTCATCATAAAGATCAACCAATGTGCCCTCAGCAAACTTAACCGTGTACTTAATTTCGCACCCTTTAGCATCATTGTGTACCAACTGTGATATTGTTCCCCTTAATTCCTCCAGTGTTATCCCTTCTTTTATGCTGCTTGCTCTCACACTCCCTCCACCGTATTTAACTTCACCTTCACTGTTTCTTTCAAAATACCCACCAACATGGAAAAAACAAAACAATTCCTTCCAACAGCTTGACCCATTATTACAGTTCATTTTGTCATCCTAACTTGGAACAACAATTTACATATAAAAAAATATATCAGCTTCACTATACTTTTATTCAATCAAATTTGCATTTACAAATCAAGACCAACTAACTCTTCTCTTCCCCACTTGACATTAGGGTTTTACAAGTTGGACATTCTAAATGACAAGATCTTTACTCCTCTCCCCCCACTGCACCACCTTAAACTTCATACTCAAACTAATAATTATTACCTCCTTCCATTTCCCCTCCCCCACTCTCCCATTCGTGATATTCCTAACAGAGATCAGTGGCAACCTGCGTCATGAAAATCACAGGTCAACAATCTGACTACAAAGACTAATATTTTGAATCTCAACCCAACCGAACCCTCCTTAAACAGTATTATTCCATGATCAACTCCACCGCTCACTCCCTCCATACCTATCACCCAACAACCCACAATGCCACTCACCACATTCAAGAACAACATCACATTCCTCGATCTTACAGGGTAGAGAAGAAGAAGAGTATACTTAGAAACATTGCAAACATTACTTACTTGATTCTCAACCATGTGCACCACCAATCTTCTCCTCCAAGCTCTCCACGATCACATTGTTTGTCTCAGCCTTCATTAATGAATCTGATTGACTGAGGGGCAATTTCGTCTTTTCACTAACATTTGCTATTTGCAATTTGAGACCGGGTCCCTCATGGTAATTTGGCATATTCAGGTGACCATAGAGTGATTTTGCTAATTTGAGGGTCTTTATTTGTGATTTCCCCTTTAATAAATTTTTAAAATATCTTGATCAGTTTTTAATTTTAACCAAATAAAGAGACGGCAGTTTTAACCAAATATCTTGATTCTGTAGATAAATATGAGGTGAACAAAATATATATAAATAAAATTATATATTTTTACGGGTAGGGCCAAATGGGCAGGGCATAATATTGTGTTCAATGCCCAGCACAGCCCGATAATTTGCTCAACCCAAACATACCCAATATTTCTTTCAGGCCATTTTTTTAAGGACAGGTTAGGCATTTTTTTGCAGGTTTGGGTGGACATAGTGGGCAACCGGGCTCTATGAACAACCCTACTATGCATTCTGTTAAGAAAAGGGAATCATCTAAGTTGCATGCATGTGAAGAATCAATTAAGTTGCGTGTGAAGACTGTTGGCTGTTTTAGGACTAATGGTTAATCTTACTCATTCAAATTCTTATATCATTAAGAAAAAATGGATCTAATAATTAAAAATTAAAGAGGAGTAAGATAAGATGAAATAGATAGAAAATACAGCAAGATTCAACATATGGGCTGTAAGGCAGATTCATATAACGAAATAAATAGTGTGGCTAGTATAAATATGAATCCTCTTATAATATGGAGGAAGACTTCATAGATACCTCATGCATGTGTTCATGAAATAGAGAACTGCAAAACAGAATAAGAATAAAAAAACACTAAACATTTAAGTCTCTTCTAATTGGCAAAAGTTACAGTGATGGCAACTAGTAGTTGTTACTAGTTAGGAGACCAAAAATAAGCAGATGGGGTTTTTCCCCTCATTAAATGTATTGCTCTAATTTTTCAACCGTTGAAACTTAATTATATTTCTCACCATAAGAGAAATTCCAATATATTGATTAAAATTAATTATCCTATTGAGCTTGAATTTTATTTGACTATGGACTACACTCATGATATTTTATTACTTTTCTAATTAAATATCTAAATAGTTGTAATAACAATAAAATATCTCACATAGGATACTTGGTTTAGATTTTGTGTACTGATTGAATAACCATTTAATTTGCAAATCTCTCGTAGGCATTAAGTTCCCTTTCAATGAAGTCTGAGCGACAATGTTCTTCAAAGGTATCTACCATTAATGAAAAATGGCCCCTTTACTCCGACATGTGGGTTGATTTTTCAATATTTTAGAAGTCTTCCACTTTTGTCTATTGGGAAAATGATCACCGACCTGTCTGTGGATGTTGCAATGTATCCTTTTCCTTGTCCCAACTTACGTAGTGGAAGAAAAGACCTCAATATGGTCTCTCTTTATTGGAATAAGAGTCATTTTAAATGCATGTGGTGTCAATTATGGTTGTTTTATGACAATGGTTAATCTTACTCATTCATGTTGTTAGATGGCTGAGGGAAAAAAGGATTTAAGAAGGATTTAATCATGGAAAATTAAGGAGGAGCAAGTGAAAAAGATATATAATAAAATAGGATTCAATATAGGATACTTGTTTCAGATTTGATGTACGCAATGTTTGAATTATATGGTGCACATCTCACATAGATATTCGGTTCCTTTTTAATGAAGCCTCAGCAATAATTTTCTTCAAATGTCATAATTAGAATGTCACATCCACTCCCACTTTTCAAAATCTTTCGCTTTTTTTTTTTTCTGGGAATTATGTGGTGGTAACATGTGACAGGCATAGATAAAGTGGTAGCGACATGTGGCCATCGTCGTCAAGGTGGTAGGGACACATGGAGGTGGTCGTTGGTGATGGCGTGACGAGTAGTAGAGGCACCACATGGCATTTTAATTTTTTTTTTTTGGGTTGAGGTGCAATTTTGACCTTGATCTTATTTCTTAGGTGTAATTTTACCCATAATCTTTTAGTGGTATAATTTTGCCCTTAATCTTATTTCTCAGGTGCAATTTTGTCCCTGAATTTTTTTTTGGTGCAATTTTGTCTCTGATCTTTTGGTGGTCAAAACTGTACCCAAAAAAAAAAAGATTAGGGTCAAAATTGTACCACTAAAAAGATCAGAGGCAAAATTACTCCTGAAAAATAAGATTGGGATTAAAATTGCACCTTAACCTTTTTTTTTCCTTTCAAAAATCGGGTTAGCAACAGAATTTTTCTATCATTGCTAATTTGTGACAAAAATTTCTATCAGTAATTAGTGATGAATTAGTGACGAAAAATTTCCATCGGTAATTAGTGATGGAAAATTTCATTGCTTATCCAATTGGTAACAAAGGAATTAGTGACGAAACAAATTCCGTTGCTAATTTTATCACTAATTCGATTCTGTCATTAGTCCCTCACTAATTTGTCACTAATTCCATTGCTAAATAAAAATTTCATCGCTAAATTTTATCGCTAACAGCATGTTTTTTTCTTTTTTAGTGAATCACATGCTATCAACGTGTATATGGAGAATATCTGCACTTACCCATTACTCCAACTTACAAATAGTTACAACAAAGTTACTCTAAAGCTCGCAATGGTAATCTACAATAATCATAAATATAAATATTTATCAATAAACTACTAACAACTACTCTAGAGCTACTTTTAAAGTTATCCAAGAGCTACTGTAAAGCGTTTAAGTCATCCTTTATAAACCAACATATTACATGCGTATATATCTATTTAGCTGCTGCAGATTAAGGTAGGGATAAATCCAACAAAAATATTAAAATTTAAATTTAGATCTCCATTTTCAACAAATTTTTAATTAGCCTAGGAGACTTAATTATGAATTTTTGAAAGTTGTTAAATGATTAGAATATCCCTCTATAGTTAAAAAGCAAAATTGAAGGTAGGTATTTCAGTTAGATTTAATTGAGGTTTTTTTTAATCTTACTTCAATTTTTTAATATAATTTTCGTTAACATATATATATATTGATTTAGAGTATTTTATAGTTAAAAATTAAAATTAAATCTAAAGTCTGAAATAATTTTTCATTTTGTTAAAGAACTATATAATCTCAAAAAAAAAAATATTTGTGCAATTCAAATAAAAAAATTTACATTGTTATCACAATTTAATTTAAAATTTGAGGTAAGTATAGACCTAATAAACTCATATAGGATGAAGTATGTGGGAAGGAAGGAACTAGGCCTTCTCTGTTTCCATTCGAATTCAATTCCCCTAGATATCCATTTGAATCATCTAGATTCCAAGTGTGTTGTTAGCAGGGATTTCTAGAGAAGGTGGAAAAATTATATCTTGAGCAGTTACATTAAGATAAACTTTAAAAATTATGTCTTGAGTAGTTACATTGACATAAACTTTCTTCTATTCCCCTTTTCTCTCAATTTTCCATTAA